CGTTAAACAGCCAGGCCACATGTTGTTTCCTACCTCCCAGACCATAACTTCTTGGTCACATACTCTTACTGAGACACGCAGAGCGGTTGGGAGTGCCCCAAAGCAACTTTTGCCTGCAGCTGATATGACGAGGAAGCATCTGAGACTGTCAGACTAACTGTGGTGTCAATGTCCTGCACTATGTAGGAGACAACAAACATTTTTGGGCACAGGATTTTTAAATGATCAAAGCGTAGCGGCATATTTAAACGTACGGCAGCTGCTTAGGATTTCTGTTTTCACAAACTGATTTGAGAAGGAGTAGCGGTTTTTTTGATGCATGCCTTAAAGCGCAGTTAGTCAACGACGTAGCGTAAACGTAGGTTGACGTACGTAGCAGCATATCAAATCTACTGTTGATAGAGAGAGAGAGAGAAGCAATGGCAACGTCACCGCCATGCGGTGGTGAGTTTTCGTTAACACGCGAATCCCATAAGGTAGATCGTGTCTGCGTCAAACGTCGTTGACTGTTTGAGCTTTTAGTGTACTTGCAAGTTGACCAGCAGCCACATGAACCGAATCTAACCCTATTTCTCTTAATAAGGTGAAAAAAACTATATGTAATACGCTGAGCGAGTATATAAATTAAGGTTTCGCCCAAACTTACACTCCTTTAATTGGTTTGTATAATACCTCCACTAAAAAAATATATATATCTTAATATTTAATTACCCGTCAAAGGCACTTGTGGCTTTACCCTTGCATTACTAGTGTCTTCCTTGACTTGCCAGAAACCTTGAACATATTCAAGTTAAAAAAAAAGAGCTGCATTAATTTTTAAACATACAGTGACGAGCAAAACTGTAACATGGTTTAACACTTTTTGTTTCAGCCACCGCTATATTTCCAAGTTCTAACGACTTTCATACATTTGCTGTATATTCTTGTTGGTACATCCCTACTCCCTCTCTCATAATGATTTGAAGTCAATACAACAACAATAAAAAAACCAGCAGACAAAAATGTAAATTAAGGCAGATGTTACAGTTTTGCACTCATATATTTTTAAGAGCTTTTTAACAATTTTCACGAAAAAAAAGAACTACTAACACAATGTTCAGTACTCTTTTGCCTGTTTCAGTTCCTGGATGTGATTTGGCATACCTTATTTGTATCTTTGTAAAAATTCTGGAGGTATATCCTTAGTTTGCTTTTGTATCCAGTCTTGGCGAACATATGCAGTATGTTTTGGGTGATTTTTCAGCTGAAACTCTCATTTTTCAACTAAATCTTGCAAATTTTGTTGAAATATGAACAGATACTGTTCCTTACGCATAATGCGTACTAACGGACCAACAAAATTTTTGAAATACAACCCCAAACTATTATTGACCGACCACTGTTATTCACAGTTTGCCTTACATGCTGCGCATGGGCTTAATTTGGGTCTTTGATCCAATACCATGCCCGGCCATCTGATTGAAAGCGATTAATTTAGTCTTGTCAGACCAAATAACCTTCAATTGAAACTTAAAAATTTGTTTTTTATTGCATTCTGAACGGCCTAACATATCCCAACAGGCAACGGTTCGGTTTTCGTGCGATGTAGCGAAATGCTGCCACACTCGCACATGTATTATGATCAAATTTGCTTATTTCTTCTTTATGATGCCTTTGCGCTCAATTTGGCAATTCTTCGCCTCGCTGTCTACTGATTTGCATTACAGTTTAATACCTTAAGCGCTTCTGTAATAGTGGCTGCATCGCTACTTGCTTCTAAGTTCACAAGATATCGTACCGTAATATTTTTTAACAGACTTCCTTTGTCCTTGGGAACATTTTAGGCTATATTTTTTCTAAGTCTTAACATTTTTAAGTAGCAAATTTCAAAAATTTTTTGCCACTTTTCGTGCGGTTCCGCCTTTCCGTAGTAAATCTATTATTTACATTTATGGTTCCTGATTAACTATGTTATTTACTGGTAATCACTTCTTCAATAAATTACAATATAGAAAAAAGTCATCTGACTTCCAACTAAGTAAAAGATAACTGTCAAATGCAAAACTGAGAGTGAGTGCAAAACTGTAACATCTGCCGTAATTTACATTTTTGTCTGCTGGTTTTTTTATTGTTGTTGTATTGACTTCAAATCATTATGAGAGAGGGAGTAGGGCTGTACCAACAAGAATATACATACAGCAAAAGTATGAAAGTCGTTAGAACTTGGAAATATAGTGGTGGCTGAAACAAAAAGTGTTAAACCATGTTACAGTTTTGCTCGTCACTGTATGTACATATGTATGTACGTACAGATGTAGTATATAATTTAGTTTGGAGGTGTTGCAGAATTAACGCAATTACTATACAAACATACATACATATGTGCATACATATGTATATTTAAATGTCAAGTTCAATAATTTCATAAGAATTCAATTGAAGCATTGGCATTATGGAATTGGCAGCAGGTGTTGGAGCGTTGTTTGTATGTACGACTAGTCATTTATTCCCTACAATTGAAATTTCTATTTTCTAATTGTCGTAGTTTTATTTGTTTGTATTTGAACTAATATATAGAGCTGCCTATGTTAGCAAACAATACTTACATCTATACCTATGTATATATACAGTGTCCTAGACTTGAAAAATGCAAAAATATGACCTACCAAATCAGGGATGCTCTTTATTTTGGTGGTATTACCGACTTCCGGTTTCGACCGGAGGTGGGTTAAACTGACCGGAAGTTAATTTTTTGAAATTATAAATACATTTTTTTACTATAGATTCGGATTTCGAGAGTAAAAATACATAACTTTTGTTAAGATCTTTTTTCTCGGAAGTGCCTTTTTCAAACTCTAAATGACCGCTTATATTCGACTCGTCCTGAACTTCTGAATTCGTGACAATGTTTTTTTTTTTGGAAAACGAAAAAAATATTAGTCACCAAATCTATCTTTTGGGTGTATTACCGACTTATGGTTTAGATCAGAAGCTCCTTATTTTAACCGGAAGTCCATTACAGAAAAACATTCCCGACCAAAGTTTTTTGTATTTTTATGCGCAGAATCCGAATCTGAGATAAAAACATGTATAGACCATTATTAAAAAGAAATTTACTTCCGGTGAGTTTAATCCACTTCCGGTCCTAACTGGAAGTTAAGACATTTCCACCTTTTTTTTGAGGGGGTGGTCTATGACGCCCCGTATACACACGTTTGTACACTAGGCGACAATGAAAGCGTACATTCTAATATAATATCCACAATTATTTTCATGAAACATTTTTTGCATTAATCATTTATGAAAATATAGTTGATATAATATAAACTATATACATAAATTAAAGTTTCACACATTATATAAATTTTACAAATATTCGAAAAAATTGCATCAAAATTTCCAACTTTTTATTCAGAATTTTTAGAAAGTTTTCCAGTATGCAGTTTTATAGCCCATTCAATTTTAGTCCAACAAAGTGCAAGTTTTTTTTTTTTTTGGTGAGGGATTTTTGCACTTTTTCCATAAAAACATGAATTTCTCATGAAATAAAATGCGGGAGATCGTTAGTAAAAAAATTTAAAAAGTCAAAGCCAGTTTTTATAAATTGCACTTGTTATATAAAAAACCGGAAAAGCAGTCCAAAAAAATTCCTAAAAATAAGCGCGATTTTTTAACCGGCTGAAACTTGCACTTCATTAGACTAAAATTGAAATTAATTTTTTTTTTATTGAATTTTTGTGAACTTTATATAAAGTGTTGAACTATATATGTATATAAAATGAGCTTTATTATAGAATGAACTATATTTTCATAAAACATTAATGCAAAAAAAAATTCATGAAAATAATTGTAAATATTACATAACAGAACAGGGTATACAATTCCATTTGTCGCATAGTGTATATTCAATATTCTAAACGGGAATTTTTACTGCGATTGAATGTGCAATGGCAACTCGGCTTGAGTCTTGAAATTCAAAAATTCCTATTTTTTCAGTCAGATTTTTTCATTTTTAGAATTTGTTAACAGTCTTAAAAGATCTTCGAGGCTTTGGAAGTATGTATTTTAGACAATTCACTAAAGACTAGAGGACATATGTACGTAAATCTATAGAAATGCGTAAAATCGTGTGAGTGCGTTTGAAATATCTGCCGCTTAGAGAGAAGCGAACTTTGGTAGTAGTACATATTTTCGAAATTGTCATATAACTAAAAAAGTCCTAAAAAATTCATATTTGGCAACTCTGCTTACCAATGTTTAACAACAATAAAACCGTTCCTGCAAACAAATTTAATTTTAATTTTATTGTGAGAAATTTGCAATATAACAATATTATTGCGAAGGCGTAGCCTTCTACAGTTGCATAAGTGGAAGGCCCCCCCCCCCCCTCTACTCCTGCTGAGTAATAATGAACAAGGTGAAACTGCATAAATGTAGGACTTCCAAGTCCAAGGATGACGTCCGCAATGGTAATGGTGTAGTGCGAATGTACCAGCTGAAATACATATGGACGGTATATTCGTGTCAACTTAAACGCGTCTCAAGCGTTTAAAATGCGTGTGTGTTTGGGGCGGTGAGGTGAGCTATCAATAGCTATTATGAATTTTTGCAATGCCAATATCCATACAACAGCAAGATATCAATTGCATTTAAAGCAAAAATGATATACAAAAAAAAAATATATATTAGTAGTAATAACTGCGTATTGTATGGATGACTGACTGTCGGCAGTCAGGTTAATAATAATTTAGTTCTCAGATTGTTATAACGCTAATATGTATATATCTACATGTGCACGTCCAGCGATACCAGCGTAACGAACGATACTTATGAATATATTTTTTCTATGAAACGACTTTAAATTTTTTTGTCTCAACAGTTTTTAGTGTTTCTGTTTTCTTTTTTAACGTTAATACGTTCCTATGCGACATACATAGACATCTGACGTCTGGGCAATATTTATTGCCAAAGATTGCATGTTCTATGAATGGAAAACTTAATAGGCACGTTTAGTACGTTCGCAGAAATCGAGGATAGCAGTTGGGATGAAAATAGGCCGTAATACGTATGGAGAAAGAGAGTGATTTTTTTGTGAATTTATTAAGACAAATTTTGAGTGTATCGAATAAATTAAAATCAAGTGACTAAATGTTTAGGTGTTGATGCGATAGAAAACAAAAACATTATTAGGTATGCAAGTGCAAAGACAAAAATTGTTGATCGCTTCCGTGGCGGCGATGGCATTTGGATTGCTATTTGGCTGGGTCGGCTTTCCGAAAATACTCAAGGCGATGATTAAAAAGGTGCGAATGGTTGGCTGTTAGTGAAGTTTTGTACATTTTAAATAAAAATTACGATACAATAAAAAATATATATACAATTAAAAATAAAATAAATTTAATTTAAAATAAATTTTTATAAATTAAAAGTAATATAAAATATACAACTAAAATTAAAAATCCTAAACTTAATAAAAAATAATTAAAAACTTTAATTTATTGAAAATTAATTTAGTTAATAAAGTTTAGAACTAAGAAACTACGAAAAAAACTAGTTTACTAACAAAATAAAATAAACTATGTACATTGAAGATTAAAATTAAAAAATAATAAAAAATACAAAGAAAATAATTTACGTAAAACAAATGAATACCAATAACTACAAAAAAATTAACTTAATAAAAAATAGAACGAGACAAAACAAAGTTAAAATAATAAAATAAATGAACTGCATTAAATTAAAGAATAAAATTATAAAATATAAAATACAGAATCAATAAAATATAATAATAAAAGTTTATGAAAATCTTAATCAAAAATTAAATAAAAAAACTATACAAATTTAATTCAATAAAAAAATTAAACATAACATAACACAAACATAAAACGTAACATAAAATAAAATAAAGTAAGAAGCATAAAAAAGGAAGTGCATAGACAAAATATTTATCCCCCGCGAGAAGAGCATCAAAATGGCACAATAATGTGCTAATTGTGTCCTGGGCAGCGACTAGGAAGCACTGTAACCAACCAAGATGCATAAAAATAAGATATACAAAAAAAAAATATTAAATAAGTGAAATAGTAAAAAATGCGGTATAATAAGAAATAAACAATAACAAGAATTTTAGTTAAAAAATTAAATTAAAAAAGTAGTTTAAAAAAATGTGTACAAAAAAATACAAAAAACGAGATAATTAAAGAGATAAATAAAATAAAATGAAGCTAAATAAAAGTAAATTATACAAAAAAACTTATATTAATAACAAAATAAAATAATTGAAACTAAATCAGTCAATAAAAAAGCAAAGTAAAGAGAAAAATTGCAAAATAAAATAAATTTAATAAAAGAAATAAAGTTAAAAAATAAACTTAGATACAAACAACTAAAAAATAAAAAAAAAAATTCTTTATTAACCTAAAATAAAATAATAAGAGAAGCAGAGAAAAATAATAATTACAACTTTGGTTATTAAGACAGAAGAATAAAATATTTGAAATTTGTGTAAAAAATTAATTAAATAAACTAATTGAAATAAAAATTTACGAAAAACTTGTTTAGATTCAAAAATAAAATGAAGAAATGAAGAAAAAAATTTGTTTATAAAATTGCAATTAAAAAAAAAAACAATTTTTATAAAACAATGTAGTTAAACTAAATTAAATTAAAATACAAAAATAAAACTAAAATGTTGAAAAAATAATAATTAAAATTGAAAACTAAAAACCAAAATATATTAAAAATAAGATAAAGTAAAATAAAAAAATTATAAAAAATATTGAATTTAATAAAAAATTAAATAAAATAAATATTAAAAATTAACTTAAAAAATAATTAAACAAATTTAATTAACAAATATTTGGATTAACAACTAATTTAAATGATACTTATCTATAAAAATTGTTTTTCTTTTCAAAGCAAGTATCACTGAAGCCGGGCACTGAAATACGTGATCTCTGGACACAAACACCTTTTCCATTACATTTCTATATTTACGTTTTCAACATTACAAATCCGGACGAAGTGATCAATGGTGGCAAACCAAATTTGCAGGAAATCGGCCCATTTGTTTTCGAGTGAGCAAAAGTAGTAGAAATAAATGTCTATGGCCTTATTCATTAAAAATAAAATAAATTTCAGAAGCTTTATAAAGTGACATTTTCATGCAAAGTTTCGATTCATTGTTAGTTTTTATCAGATTTTTTTATCAATGTATAATTAACCACAAAACCTAAATAAATAAAACAAATCCTTGTTCTCGCCCTAAAACAAAGCGAATGGAAGGATAAATACGATTTGGTGGACGATGCTGTAGAAGATTCTATTTCGTTTAATATGCGCAATACATTTTATTACAATGCCAAAGCATCGAATGGATTAACCGGTGAGGAGCTAATAACAATTGCGCATCCGCTGCTTGTGGTGAGTTTAAAAAAAATCCTTTTTTCTTTAAGATGAAAATAGTGGCTATTTATAGAAAAATATTTCCAACAAGCGGTTTTGAAATTATTTTAGAAACCTTTTTTACTATGCACAGAACGAGAAACTTTAATGATTTAAAAAAAGTTTGATTTTAATATTTTGAGCAAGGACCCTAAAAAAGTCTTAAGGGATATATAGTGCCCTCTACTCTTTACAAGACTTCGTCTTATATATCATTCATTGCAGTGAGTTTGGACGAGCTTTTGAAAGTAGCGAGTGTGCATACATATGTGCTCTTTTTTGGACCACGTTAAGCCTATACTATTTTCTCGTTTTCTTAAACCGTTCTGACACTCAAGGATTAGAGTCTCCCTCTTTAGATGGGTTGCAAAAGCAATAGAGATCATTTTACCAGACACCTAACGCAGGTCTAACAGATGGTTTTATAGTCTGCAGGGCCCTGTCTGTGATAGTTTATAGTTTCTCCCTAGCTCTGTATTGCTTCGCCAGTGTCATTCTCTCAACCCAAATATGCCCTTCCTAAGCTTTTCCTTGATCGTACTTGGATTTACTACATCTAATGTATTCGTTTTCGTGCCAAACTCTGACCTCCAATATTTTTTTAAACGTCCATTAAAGGCAGCTGGTAACCCTTATATAAATTAAGCGACTCTTTGTGCATAGTTAAACATATGTAATTATTTTAATGCCTATTATTAAAAAATTAAAAATTTTGTTTGAAAGACAAACAAATGTCCGACGGGAAGAAATATGAAATTACGTTTCATTGAATAAAACTGACGAGCTGGCGGACACAAGTCATTTTGAAACCAAATGAGGAGGAACGAATTTAAAATAGGATTTAAAAATTAGTTTGAAAAAAGGAAGTGTCTCGGATATTACAAAAAACAACAACAACAATGAAATCTTCAAATGTAAAAAATAGGGCTGTGCGATTATTCGATTACTCGAGCAAGTTGGTTAATCAGTTATTAGGTTAATCAATTACTCGAGTAATCAAGATTTTGATTACTCAAAACGATGATTAATCGAGTTACTTGAAATATAATTACTCAAAAAAATTAATTTTGCTCGTTAAAAGAGTTTGCTTTGGAAAATGCTTATTTTCTTTTTTTTATTCTGTATATGAAAAAAATATGTATGTATGTATGTATTTAATTTTAATTTTTGAAAACAGAAACGTTTTTTTTTTTTCAAAGTATCAAGGAACTTCAACTGCTTTATATGTATGTATGTAAAGAGTACTTTGAAATGTTAATTACTCATTTATTCATAATGTTGATTAATCATAAAGCAAATTACTCAAATATTTTTGTTTTTGGTTAATCAAAATCTTGATTACTCGAGTAACTGAACTTTTGAGTAATCATAATTTCCAATTAATCGAATAATTGAGTTATTTACTTTATGGTTAATTAAAATTTTGAATAATCAATTAATCGCACAGCCCTAGTAAAAAATATTTTTTCATGAATTTTTGCAAGAATTTCTTGAAGCATATCTACGCTTGAAACACAATATGGAAGAGAAAATTTTTTCGAAATTTCTCTATTTCAGATAAATAACGCAATGGGGACAGCTGTGTCTTAATTTTAGTCTCAATGTCAATTCTAGACTTAATTTTCTTTTAATCTAAATCTAAGTCTTAATAATTATTATAACCTTAAACTCAATTTTAATTTGAACTTTAGTCAAAACCATAATCACCATCACAATAACAATCAAAATCAGAGCCATAACCAAACTCATAATCACACTCACAATCATAATCACAATCACAATCACAATCATAATCCTATCCGCAGTTATCATCACAATCATAACCATTATCACAGTCATAATGACAATCACAAACACAAACGCATTCATAATCATAATCACAATCACGATCACAATCTATAATCACAATCCCAATCACAATCATAATCATAATCATTACCACTCTCAATATGAAGACATAGGCGCAGACAGATAAGAAAGAGAGCGCGGGAGTGCAGCTCCCATCAACAATAAAAAAGTGTCTGAGATGTTTTTAATTAATTGCGCACACTAAAGAAGTTTCACTTAAAAAAAAAACATTGTATTTAAAGCAAATAATTTGCTAAAGGACTAATTGTACCACTCTTTATTCTTCTAAAACGCCTTTCCGCAGCCTATATCCGTTGTGGTACAGCGTGATCGCGCCGCCTTGTTGGATCTAGCAGCCAAGGCCATAAGCATTGTGTTTGCCGGTGAGAAAGCCGTCATTACAGCCAAATTTATGGACTTGTTCTTTCGAGGGCTTTACGTAGACTGTTCATCGGAAGAATTCGCATCAAAAGCGCTTTGTACAGCGTTCTACACGGGCGAGGTGAAACAAGCAAAACAAGTGAACGCCACACATTTTCTATTCTCTTTTATGGCGAATGTGAGTTTTGTTTTAGTTTAGTTTCTTTTTTTTTAATTTTGACACGCTTACAAACTTATTTTCTAAATAACTCTCTCTCTCTTCATCGTTAGAACAATCACACCGATGCCGGTCGCTTCACTGTCTGTCGCGGCGTGAAGAACGTGAGCAAGCTTGGCAAAGTTATACGCTTTGGCGATGAGCCTACTTTGGATATTTGGCCTGGTGATGAGTGCAATGAGTTCATTGGCACCGACTCGACAATTTTCGCGCCTTTTATGACCAAAGAACAAGGACTCTGGGCCTTCACACCGGATTTGTGTCGCTCTGTTGGTGCGCTTTACAAGCGGAAATCGTCTTATCACGGCATGCCGGCAATGCGCTACCACATGGATTTGGGCGACATAAAGGTAGGCGTTCAATAGTGCAATGGAAACTTTTATGTATGTATTTCTTCTCTTCAGTCCGATCCCAGCTTGCATTGCTTCTGCGACGATCCTGAAGATATCGAAACCTGTCCGCCCAAAGGTACTATGAATTTGGAACCTTGCGTTGGCGCTCCAATTATAGCCTCAATGCCGCACTTCTACAATGCTGATCCCAGCCTGTTGGAGCAAGTGAACGGCTTGAGCCCGAATGAGAAAGATCATGCAGTCTTTATAGATTTTGAGCTGGTAATTGCGTTTACGATTTTTCGAGAACAACTAAATAATACTTAAATTTTTAAAAATTTTCTAATTTAGACTTCCGGTACGCCATTTCAAGCCGCCAAGCGCTTACAACTCAATTTGGATATGGAACCCGTTGAGAAAATTGAGCCCGTTCGAAATTTGCGCAAAATGATTTTGCCGTTATTCTGGGTTGAAGAAGGCGTGGCATTGAATAAGACCTTCACCAATATGCTGAAATATACACTCTTTCTGTAAGTTCACTAAATATAGTGAGACTTTCGTCGTAGTTCTAATGCCTTTGCTTTTTTTAGGGGCCTTAAAGTCAATTCTGCTTTGCGTTGGACTCTCATCACTATGGCTTTGGTTGGCTTTATGTCCACTAGTTACTTGTATTACAAGAAAAGTGATAGCTTGGATATTACAGTGCCACCGAAAGTGATCCCTGAGCCATCAAATAAAGTCGAAGACGTCAAGCCGGCGGCGGATAAGTTAAATGCGCCATCTATCACGCAAGCTGATCTCTCGAATCGCCGTTTGCCGGTGGATAGATTTTAAGTTTAAAGATATTTATCTGATTTGAAGTAGACTTTTTTAAGAAAAGCTCACCGCACCGTAACAAGGAATCATATATATTTTATTCGAGTATGATCCCTATTTTATGGGCATTCAAGAAAAACACTCACATATTCATATCCTATACACTGATGTACATTATTTTACATAATAAACGCAGTTAAATAAAGTAGAAAACGATTCGCTTGAAAAAATTAATAGTTTTGAGCGAATCATCACCAATGAAGGTTCTCATATCTTTGATATTCATATTTATGATTCTTTAGTTATTTCACCGTGAAAACTAATCGCAATTTTCTTTGAGCTTCAAACGAATGAATTGAAAAAACTTCAAAGTGAAATCCTGAAACTTCTTAAAGAAAGCGAAATATATACCTAGACACCTGCCTATTGAACCTACCTTTTGGAAAATAATGACCAAAGAGCATTCCCGTACATCACTTAGAGTAGAGGGAAGCTCACTTATCAGGGCAATTCTGAAAGCTCTTTTTTGTCTTTCGAATAGGGATGTCAGTGGCAAAAATACATCGATGTTTTTCTTTGATTCGATGCATCGAAATGTACATCGATATTTTTCGATGCATCGAAGGGCATACATCGATGCATTGATTTGCATAGGATTTTTCAGATAATGTTTCACAAAAAAATATGTTATTAGAAAAATTGTAGAAAATTTGAAATAACTTACTGCAACTGAGCTAATTATGTTTCTAACGGAACTTCTTGCAGCCATTTAAATTTTTTGGCCAAAGTCACTTCTTTGTTTTGAACAATAGAAAAACTTTCAAAAAACATCGATACATCGATGCATCGATACATCGACTATTTATACATCGAGTGGAAAATTTTCGATGCATCGAAGCAAAACATCGATATTTTCGATGCATCGATGTTTTTCCGACATCCCTACTTTCGAAAGACTAATTGAAAGTTTTACTAACGAGGAGGCCTTAGCATCAAGCAAACAATAAATAAAATGAGTTTCTCAAAATTAAATAAAAATAAAAAAATACATAATTTTAAAACAATTAAAATTAAGAATTAAAAAATTTAATAAAAAAATAAGTTATTTTAAAAAAGCAAAAATACCAAAAAAATCAAAACAAATATATTTATAAAAGTTAAAAGTAATTAAAATAATATTTTTCTTCTTAAAATTACATAATCTATAACTAAAAGACAAAAATAAACTTAAAAAAGAAAACAAAAAAAAAACCTAAAAACAAAACACAAAAACAAAACAAATCTTTCGAAATCAATAAAAACTAAACTAAAATAATAAAAAAATAACAAAAAAATATTCAAAAAAATAAAAACTAAACTAAAGTAATAAAAAAATAACAAAAAAATATTCAAAAAAATAAAAGCAAGAAAAAATAAGTTGCTAAAAACTAAGTAAACCAAGAACTGGTAAAGTTAAAAAATTAATAAAAAAATAAATAAGTTGCTAAAAACTAAATGAAATTAAAAGACAATCAAACTAAAATAAATATTAAAATAGATTCCTATGAATTAAATGAAACTAAAAAATATTTTTTCTTTTTAAAACAATAACATCTAAAAGCTAAAAATATAATGTTTTTAAACAATGAAAACTAACTACTAAAGAAGTGAATGCAAAATTAAAAAAAAACTTAATTCAAAAAAGAAATAAAGAAGAGTTATATCAAAAAAGGAACAAATAAATCAGTATAGAATATTTTACAATGACATCTAAAAATTAAAAGAAAACACTAATTTAAAAAATAAGTTCCTAAAAATTAGATTAAAATAAAAAAATCCAAAACGAAAAGAAAAAATTAATTAATTATCTAAAACTTAAATGAAAAAATATAAATTTCTATTTAAAACAATAAAAGCTAGAAGCTAAAAAATAGGAAGGTATTGAAAAAAATGTATTAATAAAACAGAAAAAATATAAACTTTTTTTAATAAATAAGTTGCTAAAAACTAAATAAATTAAAAGACAATTAAATAAAAAATAAAAAATATAATTAAGAAAATAAATTTCTATGTATACATACAATGAAATTATTTTTTTTTAACAATAAAATCTAAAAAGGAAAAAATATGTTTTTCAACAATAAAAATTTTTACCAAATAATTAAATTAAAAAAATGTATTAAAAAAAGAAAACAATCAAAAAATTATATAAAAAAGAAAAAAATAAATAAGTTTCTAAAAATTAAATTAAATTTAAAAAGAAATATTTTTCTTCCTAAAAAATGAGATCTAAGAATTAAAAGAAAGTTAAATTAAAAAAAAAATAAAAATGAGTTCGTAAAAATTAAAAGAAATTAAAAAGACTTAAAAATTAAAATAAAAACAAAATATTTTTCTTTTTAAAGAAAACCAAATGCATTTTCGAATGTGAAAAGGGTTGTTTTACTGATTATTTTTTCGATTACTATACATTACATTTTCCCACTGGGAGGGGTTTGCTCACTCGGCCTTTGCGGTATTATTTCCGAAGGTGGTTTCATTAGTCGAAGGTGGCTTGACAGTGTGCACTAGATTTACGAAGATAGATTAGCGAAGCAAAGCGACGAAGTAACGAAGGGAATTTGTCTCTTCTTGAGGAAGGCCAATCAAGGCGAAAAAGCCACTATCTTTGTCGATGGCCAAGCGACTGACAGCAATTCGCGCCAAGTCACGAAAGGCCGGAGTTTGTTCAGTCTCGAGATCTAAAACAATTCAGCTACAGAACCAAATTCATCAGCTGAATCGAAATCTAGCATAAGAAAGGAATAATATTTACATATTCCATACATATGGGTGTTTCCATACAGCCGTACGCGACATTCGTACGCTTATAGAGTAACGTAAATCTATCAAAAATAGAAGTTACAGAAAAAAAGATTACGGTTATGTTGCAACCAAAGGGTACTATGTTTGAGTAAAAAACTAGCAGCCTTTGGTGTGGAAAATATCCGTTCAAAACCAGGTGATAACGTACGCGACAAAAAAAGAAGTGGTTTTAAGGCACATCTACATATATGCGAAAGTCTGCGAATCAAGAGTTTTTCTTTTCTTTAAAAATTCCTAAACTAAGCTAAATATGTACCTTTACAATCCTTTCATATTTTAAGAGAAACTATCTCTGGCTAGTTTTATATTAAAAAAAAACAACAATAACGTACGCGTAAGTAATAAAATGTATTTATTGAGAACTCTTCTCGCCATCGTTTCATTGTTTACCAACTATTCTAAATAATTTAAATGGAAAATTTGCAATTAACATTGGTTTTGATGTATTTGATTGAAATTTTCGTACTTACAATAACGTATGCGACAAACTTTAAAGGGTAATAAAATATATTTTTACTTCGGTTGGAAAGAAAATTTTACTGTATATCTTTAACTAGAAGAATTCTCGCTTAAGAATTGTAATCTGCATTACCTGCGACTGCCAATATACAAATGACATAGACAAACAATGTTTTTGCATAACGTACGCGACATTAGAATACTATCAGAAGCAAATCAAAAAATTACCGTTATTCGAGCTCTAACTTCTCCTTTTTCTCATTTTTATAGTTAGTTGTTATTGCAAATTTGATTTTAAGATGTAATTGTAATGTTTCAAATCTCTTAATTTAGTTAATAGGAAAGAGAAAATAGTTCATTTCATTAGAGAAAACTGAGTCGAAGAGACATTCAGTTTTACTCTTCCATTTTTGAGTTTTAAAATTCCAATAAGCTGAAATACTTCTGTAATATAAAAATTCGAGTATTTTTCTCTTATTAATTCGTCTTAAAACCCCTTTTCAGTTGTTTTTATTTTTTCAGTCCTAGTTGACATTTTCATGGAAACACCCATATGTATATTAAAGATACCCACCTGTCTTTTACGCAAAAATACAAAAACTCGTGCTTAGACACATTTTATCCCACTTGACGGCTTGTGGCCATTTGCCGATTTTCTGACCACCAAAAGCGCGTGCGTTTAAGCGATTAGAAGATTTTTAATATTGAGGTGGATTTTATTTGATTTTTATAATTTGGTCTTTTGCCGTCGTATATAATTAATGAAAGCAATTTTTTAGCTTTGACTTTTTTATGGAACAAAAAAAATCCGTTTTACCCATCTACTAAAATCCTCATTTAAAATTTTACTCTTAAATAACTATCCATCACATTGTTAAAGACAAAACTTAATTTTTGTGAAAACAAAAATAAAAACCTTAACTCCGGAGATCTGGGCTTTCAAAGCTGATGTTCAAAAAATAGACCAGCGGCCAAATATGGGTTAGATCGAATTATACAAATTAAACAGAAACAACTGATTAATCAACTGTTTAAGAAATGGTCCCAAAAAATCCAAATAAGAAGTGAGCTGTTTACTTTTCTCCAAGGAAAAATTTGAAAGTACTTTTAAGCGGTCCAATGAATCACCACTGCGGGTTTAATGGGGATTTTCACTGCAAAGGCTGGTATGCAAAATCATGACCTAAGAAAGGATGACTATTTAATAAGCGATATTTGTGTACCAGCCTGATAGTTTACTGCTCAGATGAGGCGCTGAGAGTACGAAAGAGATTCTTAGTATTCTGCCGAAATGCCAAAACTCAAAGCAAACACAATGTGAGTGGAAAATTCCTTAAAACTTCATATGTCTTTTGTTTGATCAAAATCTTACCTTGCGAAGTGTGAAAAATTTCTAAATATCCCTTCAACTGAACAATTGTTACCTGCCACTATTGCAACATTTATTTTCTCTATTAAGGGCAACACGCTGAGTAGTCGCGCAAACAAAATGCCTATCGTCTAGGCATATTGACTGAATTTTAATGGCTCGGTGGTAAAAAAAAAATAAAACAAATAAAAATTTACATGCACCAAATTATAATTAAAAATTACGTTTACCCAATTACATGCACAGTATACTTTTTAATATTATTTTGTTTGTATAAATGTGCTTTGTTTTCATTTCCAATTTTCACTTGAGGCTAATCTCGCTTTGATCTTTCTTGTGATTTATGTGAATGCCTTCAGCGACATGAATGATGCCATTTTTTTCTTTCACTGTTGCCATGTAATTTGTCATGCATTGCATTGCTACTAATTATTTTTCATTTATTTATTTTTTGGTTTATTATTGCATTTGCTAGCAAGCGAAAAAATTCTAGGTGAAAATGAAAATTTTTGAATGACAATTCATTTGCAGGTGTTTACCCACACACAATACACAATCGCGCAAATTGAACACAAAAAGTAA